AAGCTCAGAAATCTGGACACTGAACACAGATTCCATTCTCCAGACTTCTGGAGTTCATTTATTTTTTTAAGATTTATTTTATTTATTTGAAAGAGTAACGGAGAGAGGTAGAGGCAGAAAGAGAGGTCTTCCATCTGCTGGTTCACTCCCCAGATGGCCTCAATGGCTGGAGCTGCGCTGATCCAAAGCCAGAGGCAGGAGCTTCTTCCAGGTCTCCCACGTGGGTGCAGGGGTCCAAGCCCTTGGACCATGTTCCACTGCTTTCCCAGCTACACCAGAGAACTGGATCAGAAATTGAGCAGCCAGGACTCAAACCGGCGCCCATATGGGATGCCAGCACCCCAGGCGGCAGCTTTACCTGCTATACCACAGCGCCGGCCCCCACACCTTCATTTCTAAAGTTATGACCTTGAAGCCTCAGAATCTGTACTGAGGAAAGTGAGGATAAGCCAAGTGAAGATATCCCAAGCGAGGACTCATTTGGAGTAAATTGCTCAACCTGTCAGGCGAGATGGGGAGACCTAGAGGAAGAAGCACCAGAACACTGCCCAAAACACCCCTGAAAACAACATGAGCCGGGAAACTATCGTGCTGCCATGAAAAATGACGTTCCAAAGGATCCCAGTAGGAACGAACATCTGCACACTCACTAGGCTCCGTGCGCTTCCGTGTCGCAACTCCAGTGTCACAGCCATCTTTTGGTAGATAGAAAACTGAGCCTTTCAGGGTTGGGCAGCTTGCCAGGTGGGATGACCATAAATTCTGAGACGGTCTCACTTCAAGCCTGGTGCCTGGATTAATTATTAGTAGAGTAAGGCTCCTATCACTCGCACGTGCGAGGAGTTACGTGGTTGCCCAGGGCCACTCAGCTAGCAGATGGGTGTCAGGATTTGAGCTCCTACCATAGGACTCTGAAGACCACACACTAAACCATTATGCTAGCCATAGAGATGTTACAAAGTCTGTAGGAAGAAAGGAGAGGCCTACATTGCATATGTGTTACCCTAAGTATGCTTTAAACATTCTGTATATAGGAAAAAGCCTGGAAGGGAATGTGTGAATGATTAAGTATAGACAGAGGGAATATAATAGCTTTTTTAAAATAGTTCTTACTATTTTCAGTTTCTAGATTTACTTCAATTAAAATACATGACTTTATAATAACAGCAATACTTCTAGGGGCAGTACTGTGGTATAGCAGGTGAATCCAACATGGGCGCCAGTTCAGGTCCTGGCTGTTCCACTTCCTGATCCAGCTCCCTGCTAATGACCTTGGAAAAGGGGTGGGGTGTAAGATGGCCCATGTGCTTGAGCCCCTGCTACCCACATAGGAGACAAGGAAGAAGATCCTGGCTCCTGGCTTCAGCCTGGCCCAGCCCCAGCCATCACGGCAATTTGGGGAATGAACAAGCAGATGGAAGATTCTCTCTCTCTCTCTCTCTCTCTGTCTCTCCCCCTCTCTCTGTAACTCTTTCAAATAAGTAAGTAAATCTTTAAAAATAATAAAGATGCTACTCTTAAAAAACCATAGATAAAAATGTTGCTATTTCATGAATATTATTTATCATAGATGCTATCAATAATTTAATACAATAAAGCAAAAAAGAAATGAAAAAGGGAGTAGAGGAAGAAGAGGAGAAGGCCATTGACATGAGAGGTGAGAATCTGCCATTGCCCTGACTGGCCACGGTGAGTCTGTGAGCTCAGAGACCTTGTCCCCAGAAGCCCCCAAAGGGACAACTCCAAGAGAGAGAGCTGTGTGCAATGATCGCAAACATGTGTTTTACAGTCATAAAAGCTATTGTGGAGACAATTGAGGGGGGGTTAACTATGGGCCGGATATTAGCCTGTATTACAAAATTACTATCGTTTTTTAAAAGTAGGATAATGGTATTGTGGGTTGTATGAAAGAATGTCCTTCCTCCTGGGAGATGCATGCTGAAATAACCAGGGGGAAATGTCATTAACTCTACAACTTCATTCAGATGGCTCAGGGTAAAGAAGTGTGTGTGTGTGTGTGTGTGTAAAGAGAGCAAACGTGGCAAAGTGTTCGTAACTGTTTCATCTATTTGGAGGGGAGCTGGGTATTCGTCATATGGTACCTTGGGATTTTTTGGTATGCTTGGAAATCCCCAAAACAAAGGATTGAGGCGGAGCAGTTGAACACAAATCCTTTGAAATAATAACACAAGAAAAAAGCAGGTTGTAAACAGCAAAGAATTCATGTTTTGGTCAGAGCTATCCATGCTAGTTACACAGATTGAGTGCCATATAACCCTGGGCCAGCCTTTCTAAACTTTAGTATCCTCATCTGTGAAATGGGGGGGATAATAATATCAGCCTCACAGATTTTTTTAAAAAGGATTCAAAGAAGACTGCTGGAAAGCATTGATCACGGTGCCTATGCACAGTGCCTGTGAGGAAGAAATGGTCTAAGCAAGTGGCACGCGCATCTCACGAGGAGCCCACAGGGCTTTGAAAGATTCTAAACAAAGGCAGATTTTTTTTTTCTCTTCCGTATCCATGTTTTTCAAGTGCTATATAACCTAGCTTGATGTCCCATGGAAAACGTTAACAGCTCAGAAGTTTTCCTTAGGTGAATAAGTGGGCTCAGCTTTGTCATCACTGAGCAATCTTATTCAACCACAGTGGTTTCTACTGTGTTGGCAAATGAGTTGGCTTGGGTTTGTTCTGTTTTGCTGTAGCCTATTTTCCCTACCTCAGACCTGTGCTGAAGATACCGAGAGAAATAGGACAGTGGTCCTGCTCGTAACTACAGCTGCTGGGGGTTAACATGTGTGTCATTCATGACCAAGATACGTTTGCACAGCACTTCACAGTCGACAGACTTGTTTCCCTATGTGGCTTCCTTCAACTAACCAGAGAGAGCTAGTATCCACCATAGGTAAGTGTCCTCATTAAATTCCCTTACTTTACCTTCACAAAATGATACTGTATAAACACACTAGAGCAGAGAGCTTCGGTTCCAGTCTCACTGCCTGATCCATGTCTGTACATATTAGTGCCTAAGACAAGGATCCGTGCCTTATCCACTTTTGCATCCTGAATCCAGAACACAGTAGTTATTCACTTAATGCAGGTTGCAGGAAGGTAAGAAGGCAGACAAGGAGGGAGGGAAGCAAAGGAAGAGGGGCAGAGAGGAGATTCAAACTAAAAATTTCTTAAGTCCTACTAAGTGCCTACTGTATGCTAATTGCTATGGGAAATGCAAAAGGAGCCTAGGAGACACAGTCTCTGTCCACAGAAGTCTCGTAACAAGATAAAGACAATAAATAAAAGTTACTTTTAAGGAAAAAGATCTGCACAAAAATGATCACCCCCAGCATATTCACTTAACGACAAACTGAAGGGAAAAAATTGTAATTACAAGGAAATGCATGTTAATTTATTCCAAGTCTGTAAGGGTGACTTCTCTTTTGATCTGTAACATTGTTAAATCATGCTAAGCTTCACCTGGGAAAGTTTGCATGAAATAAAAATTCTAATGAAAATCTCAAGGAACTGAAAATATCCTTTAAAGGGAAGCTCTCATGTCAGCCCTACATTCCAGTTACATATTCAACAGCTGTCTGTCTTCATTAAGAATAATAAACTAGCATCTCTTTAAATACACAGGTATTGAGTGATATATGCATAAATTAACCACAACTCAAGTAAAGAAGAAAATCTACTTAAATCTGCATTAATCTTTCATTGGCTTTTCCACTTGTCATAAACAGTTTGTAACCAGATATATATCATCATACCAGACATCATGTAAAACCTCTCACTCAATAATCCAATTGATATCCAGGTAATATATCCAGTGGCAACAGTTCTCAAATGGGCCATTTTATAACCCAGGCAAAGGTTAATCATCCTTAGCTTCCTCAGTGTAATCTTAACCAAACTCGTGCTGCTTACCAGGGACTCTCACACAGCATCCTGTTTTATGGTTAGTTAATTATTCTTTACTAACACGAATGCACCCCAGACCTGGGCCCATCAAGCAATATGCTGAAAGAGATGTCTAATATCTTCTATTGTTTTTGAGCTTTTTTTCAGGCTTTAAATTTTTTTGTTGTTGTTTAGAGAATTCCTGTTGAATACTTAAATTTTTGTCTATTTTTGTATTTGAGAGGCAGAAGGACAGAGACATATATAATGTCTCTCACTCTCTCTATATATACATTATATATATATATATACACGTTCTCTCTCTCTCTCTCTCTCTCTCTCTATATATATATATATATATGAACCATCCACTGGTTCATTCCCAAAATATCCTTGATGGCTAGAGCAGGGACAGGTCAAAGTTAGGAGCCAGGAACTCAACCCTGGTCTCCCATATGGGAGGCAGGAACTCAGTCACTGGAGCTATCATCTGCTGTCTCCCAGGGTCTCCCAGCGTCTGCATGAGTAGAAAGCTGGAATTGGGATTCAGAGCAGTGTGTGGAACGCAAAACCCCAGTAATGGATCGAAGTTGTCCTAACCGCTAGGCCAATTGCCTGCCCCTGAGTACTTCAATTTTATGTGTCCTTTACTAAATATCTATCTATGGCCTCCTTTAATTCCCAAATGGATTAAAGTGAGTTTCTAAAATATATAATCCCCTACAGTGTATGTACAGCTACTAAATAAGTTAGGAAATTAGAGAGGAAGTTGGGGTGAGAAAATTGATAGCCTAGAGTTAACTTAGGACCCTAAATGCCCTCCAGGAACTCTTGTACATTTATTGAAGTAAAACCACAAATTTGAGTCTGCATTCTCCTAGCAACAGATGCCATCAAGGAAATCCAATTACTTCATTCATTCACTTATTTGAAAAATATTTATTTCAGACGTTAGATGCAAGGCATTCTGTTGATGATGAAGAATGGAATCAAAAAGACTCATTCTTTCCCCTCAAGAACTCACCATCCTGCCACACAATGAGTTTTAACAGTCAGACATGTTGTCATAAATGGTGAAAATTCCATAAAAGAAAAGACTCGCGTTCTAAGAGAGCAAACATCAGGGAAGAACCAGATCAAACTTTCCGTGGAGGAACGTGAACTTGTACATGAGATGTCCCTGAGTTGCCTCCTAATTTCCATTTCCCCCTTCTTTCTTGGTAATAGAACTCCAGGCTTTAAGGAAGCAAGTTACTGCCTCCAATAAAGCAGTACACCTGCCAGCTTCCCTTGTCACTAGAGGAGACCAGATGACTAAGTCCTGGTTAAGAAGTGGAAACATTGTGTGGGCTCCTGGAAACAGACAGCAGCCTTGATGGGAGAGGCCTCCTTCTGTGCTCCATCTAATGGCAGAGGACGGCCAAAGCTCTCATGGTCGCCTGGACCAGAAGTGATCTTGAAGGTAAAAGCCACGTCTGAGGATGGCAGAGAAGACGGAAATCCAGGTGACACCCAGGGAACACCATGTGAGCCCAGACTCCCTGCACAATAAGGACACAAATGTCTCTCTTGTTTTCTTGGAGTTTCACTGTTGTATGTGGCTGAACATAAACCCAACTAATTACACAGTGAAGAGACAGACAGGGGGGTGAGAAAGGGGGATTCCCATCAAGTTGCAAAGACGGTTGCTTCGGGGACTGAAAGAAGATAGGTTCCAGCTAGTGAGGGGAGAAAGTTCAGGTGAGCTATGAAAAGAGGCAGCGACCCATCACTCAGCTTCTGGTTGGAGATATTAGAAGGCAGCTATGCTCACCACTATACCACCAACACTGGTTGGAGATACTCTAAGTGCTACAAGAGGCACCTGGTTGTTAAGTCATGGGCAGTGTTGGCCATTGCAATGGTTTGGGTGTGATTTGAAGGTGTCTCTAAGAGTTCATGTATTGACATTTAATCCTCATGATGACAGGCTAAGAGAGAAGAAACTTAATCCAGCTACAGTGTTAGAGGCGGGCCTTTCAGAGGTGGTCAGGATTAATGTCATCAGGGTTGGGTGCACCTTGTGGCACAGTGGGTTAAGCTCCCACCTGTGACTCGTGCATCCCATAGCAGAAAGCCAGTTAAGTGCTGGCACCTCTACTTCCAATACAGCTTCCCGCTAATGCATCCTGGGAGGCGGCAGATGATGGCTGTGGTGCTTGGGCCCTTCCACCCACATGGGAGATCCGATGGAGTTCTGGGCTTCTGGCTGCAGCCTGAAAGCCATCACCAGATGTGACCCTGCGGCTTTGGGCCTCTGGAAGTGTAAGCCAAAGTAAACCTCTTTTCTTTGTGAAGGACGTAGCCTCAAGTATTTTGTTACAGTAATGGAAAACACTAATACAGCCACATCCTTCCTTCAAATAGAATCTTATTCGGAAAACAGACAAAGCAGAGCTGCTCTGGGTCCACGCTGGAATCCCAAGTCCCTGGAGCCAATCTCTCCTTTCCCTTTGTTTTCACTCCCAAACCCTAGCAACTCCCCCAGGAAGCCAAGAAGAGCCCAAGGCTCTGGGGAGCCCAGCACAAAAGCTATGGAATTATTGGTTCAGAGTGTATAAGGTAATCCAGGCACTTGAGAAAAACATAGGTCTCCTTAGTCCTGCGAGCCGGCGGGGGGAAACTCCTACCATGGCTCTTCATGGAGATGGGCTGGTAACGGCTGTGGGTTAAGGCTTCTCGCCAAGGTGCAATTCAAGGTAAAACAGCACGGCCCAGGGAGCTCATCCCCCCCTGCACTGACTCAACCCAGGCCAGCCGCAGCCAGGCCTGGATGCTCCGTCCCTCTCCCCACCGAATCTGCCTCCCTCCAGCTCATCTCAGCTGCTCAGGACAGCTCCCCGCAGCCCCCACGGGGGCTGTCCTCACAGGGGCAAGCACCTCCCCCTCCAAAGATTTCCATCCCACCCTTGTTTGGCCTGCAAATAAATTGGCAACACAGCTGAATTTAATCTTTTGATTCCCCCTTGAGAACCAATTTCTCCAAGCCATTCCCATGTAGACAAAAAGATTTTGTCTCAGTAAACCTGTTTATTGACCAAAACTGTCGCCTCTGCTCTGACCACTGACCTTATCTGAATATTCAAATCTATCACAGATCGCAAGTTCAAATGATTTCGGTGCCCTCTGGAAGCCCTGTTTTCATAGTGAGCTGATTACGAATGACAATATTATAAGGGCTTTAATTGAGATTCTACAAACAATTTGCACCCTGGATTTACAAACCTAATATATTCAGAAGTGTGAATGCTGCTGACACTATTTTTTTTTTTTCTGAAGGCAAAGTGCCGCCACTTCAGCTAGCCAATGCACTTCCGTCCTTGCTACCATCTTAGTCATCCTGGACCCTAGGCTGCCGACAGTTCTGCGGGGCAGAAAGCACCTTTTGCCTTCTGAAGCAAACCTCAACTACGGAAGCTCTGCGCCTCCCTCACCCACAGCCCCCGTCCCCATCACCTGCAGAGAAAAGCTGGAGACCTACTCCAGTCCTGGACATAAATGAGTCAGGAACACAGGTGCCGATACTCGCATTAGTACTGCCTTAGGCAAGCCGCTTAATTCCTCTTACCCTGCCCTGGAATCAAGGGAGGATAAAATCCTTCTACACTCAACCCACAAAATTGATGTTTGCCTAGAATTAATTAAGTGATGTCAACGGTTTAAAAAGTCAAAAGGAGCACTTGAAAATGCAAGATGTTTTTATTAAACCTGCTTTTTAATATCATGGAGAAACAGCTGAATCAAATGTTAATAGTATTAAGACTCAGCACTCATTGAGTAATATATATGCCAAACCCTGGGCAAGGTGCCTTAAATGCAAGGTTGCATTGAAGTCACAGACAACTCCTAGGAGGTGAGTACTGTTACTAAGCCCATTTTACAGATAAGAAAAACTGAGGCTTGAAGGAATAAATAACACCTAAGGCCCTACAGCAGGAAACAAAAACTCATCATCCCATAGATAGAATCTACAGTGGAGATATTTGCAGCTTTTACTGGATTTGTAGCCCCGTCTTTAAGAATAGAGGGAGAGGTGTGGCGTGAGCAGCTCCTTGGCGGCTACCACTGCAAATGGAGGCCGCGCCACTCTTGCAGGGATCGGTCCCGAGCTGAAGCAGCCTAACTTTCCCACGTGCTCAGAGGGAAGGAGCTGGCTTATCTGTGAGGAATTTTGAGTTGGCATCTAGGAAGCAGCACATTGGAGGGATCGTGTTTATTTCATCCTCTTTTTTCTGATTTTTGGCAACTACTATGCCCTGAAAACCTAGGTAACAACGAACAAGGGCTAAAGGGCACGTGTGAGCTCACCCTACTGCTGTAGCTAGCGGTAGGAAGCAGGATGCCTTGTCTCCCACAGAGGCTGCAAGGCACCGCTGTTGCAACCCGGAGAAGGAAGTTTTTGCCTTCTTTGCTCGGCTCTGATGAGATGAAGTACAGCTGCTCCAAATCGGTGGCCGAAGCCCAACCCGCTGAGAGAAATGGCTGTCCGAGCACGAATATTTCAGAATCTCCGAGTTGCACACTCGCTACAGGTAATTTATAGCCTAAACTCACTGGATTCCCTTCCAAGATGGTCTATTTAATCAAAGTTAACTGGTGAAAATTATGAAGGCTCTTAATTGAGCTCGCCTGCGATGGGCTTTGACAACAGCAGTGCGAACACGGCAGAAAATAACAAAATGAATAAACTACAATTTTCTCTAGTTCCATTTCAAATATGACGTCTGGAATGAAGAGTTGAGATCTCTAGGTGGTGATCTTCATGCATAGTATAGTGTTTGTCCTGAATTTCATTGCTTTGAAAAAAGGCATGAAAAGTCTTGATTTAGTTGGCGTTTAATGTGATTTTTATATAACTTCTGTGATATAAGCAGTCGCAATGGGAATCAGCAGGGAAACTTAAAGAGCAGTAAAACCTTCAGCTATTGTTCTTTCTGGGCTCTGATTGGCTTGCTGGGTATACAAAGCTGAAAAATCCCAGTTCACATACACCTACTCTATTCGTAGACACCCATAATGATTGAGTGCGGGCCAGCACCACCCCTCTCCCAGCCAGCCAGCCAGTGAGAACGAAGAGGAGACAATAGGTATGTTGGAACAGCAACAAAGAATGTGTTGCTGTAAATCACGTTCCATTTCTGCATAGCTGGGGATAGTAATGCACCAGCCATAGGCGAGTATATTAATGTCTCCCGCTATCCAGAAATGAAAAATCATGCACAACAATACACTCTTGATTGTTATTCCAAGATGGCTTTTTTAGTATTAGATTCTTTGCTTTATTTTTTTAAAAAGCAAAATGCATATTTTATTATTATTTAAAAGCAATTTCTCCCTTCGTTTGGGTCCATAAGCATTGCTTTCCAGCAGACAAATACATTGTCTTCCCTGTGCACTGACTGACGAGGGATGTGCTTAAAACTCAGAGATGCTAGGTTTCTGGAGCCCTTAATGATATCAGAAGGAAGGTATCATATAAATGACCAGGGACTTCCCTACACCTAATCAATTTGAGTTTGGAAAATTATTTGAACTGTGTGGAAACATAAAATGTAATACGGCAGCCACACATTACATTTACATGTTTTAAATATGCTTAACCATGCATTTAATTTAGATTTAATGAAACAGTTATCATATGCATCCAAAACATCAGTGTTATTAAAAACAAATTTATGGAGGATTAACAGCTGTGTTATATGTCTATACCTACCTATGCCAGAGTTGTTCATTCTCAATAATGTGGTTTTAATCATTAACTTCTGTTTATTAAGTGCACAATAATTGAGTAATTCTACTGAGTGAGATTGATTAGGGTACTCCTTAGTTTGGATAAATACCAATTGATAATTTAAATTGTATGAAACTGGCTCTGAAATCTATGTTATACCCACTACTTGCATATTTATTCTAGTTTTCAAGATTCCTAATCAGTCAGTGTGAGGCTAATAGAACCACAATGTGAACTCTGAGCTGTGTATCCGTGGGATGCACCTGCCATTATTATCGACAATCAGGGAAGATATCAACATCTAGCAAAGGTTAAAATGATTTTTCATTGAGTTTTCTTTCTCTTTTTCTCCACTTTTCCGTAGGAAGAGTAATTTAGAAAGGCTGCAGTTGGTGGGGGGGAGGCGAGAAAAGCAATGAAGAACAAATTGCTGTACATGAAGTTTCGTTTTTGAATAGCTAGGGAGATTAATTCACTTGACTGCAACTGGTTCATTACTACACCCAGCTACCCAAAAATGAAATATCACGTATGGTACCGTCTTTGCCCCATAGGTCATAATACGATAGTGATCACAGCAGGGCTGGGCTTGATTATGGAAAATGAGACCCCAGTCAATGCTCTCAAACACCCCCTGCCTGCCAAGGAGCTATCCGGGTGCTGTAATTGTGTTTACCTATTACCATGCCTTTATTTCATTACTTTGGACTTGCGGGATGCTATAAAACGAGACAGAATTTTGGAAGGTTCTGGAAGCTCTTACACGGAATGCTGTGTTTAGGGAGAACTTCTTCCTGCATTCTTGGAGCAAATCATTTATGTCTTCCTTCACCTAAATTTTATGGCATATTCTCAAAGCCCTCCCCAACGGATAAAGCAAAACAGGAAACGAGTAACCTTCTACTTGAAACCGGAAGCATAGTCCTTCCGAGAGCCACCAGCCTTGTTGCTTCATTTTTCTTCAGATGGGTGAAGATTAATCCATGAGTCAGGAATCTTTGCCTCAGCTCCATTCCAGCAGCTAATTATAGAATTCTGATTATCCTACCTCTAGCTTGTCCTTGGTAATGATGTATACTACAACTAGCTGAACATTTACTCTTTTGCCAGGTGCTGGCATTATCCCCTTTGACGTCCACAGCAAGCTGCAAGGTAGGCAGTGACAAAACCTAACACTTATTGAGCAAGTTTTAGGCCATAGGCACAGTCCAGAGAACATCTGTTCTCGAAAATTATATGTTCTACCAATGTAAGGGTTTGGTACTCCTATCAAGCCCATTTTAAAGATGAGCAAACTAAAGACTAGAATGGATCGAAGGATTTCCCAGCATTACAAAGTCAGTACGTAGAATAAGCAGGCAGGGACCCAGGTAATCTGGCTCCTGAAACCCGATGCCCCTCCAGCAGGAGTTGTTACTCCTGTTTTAAAATGAGAAGCAGAAGCAGAATAGTGGGAAAACTTTGTCAAAGTCACACAGTGCCTTTGACAGCCTAAAAGCTGAGCTCGAAGCCCAAGGATGCCAGATTCCAAACTGAGAGCCCTTTACCCTCCAGCGTGCACACCACATTTCTCTCATTGCCCGATGATATGGGTGGTTATCCGTTTGAATCTATCCACATGTCTAGCACCCCTGAGGGCTAGGATTCTATTTTACTATCTGTATCTGCCAGCAGTCTGCACGTAATATGCACCTGACTCTTAGCACTTGCTCAATAAACACACAGCTGTCGGAATCGAGATCTTTGATGACCCCCCCCCATGCACTACAGGTAGAGTTGGTGCCCTCCCTATACATATACACAGTGTGCTCACCAGCTCATCTTCATTGCTTTGGGATAGCACATTCCACACTAAACTATACTTATCTGCACATAGAGTGTAGTGCTATTCACTCAAGTGGGAATTCCCCTGGGGTTAAGAAAAAATGGCTTGTTCATCTTAATCTCTGTGTGGCCCGGCACTGGCCCTGACACATAAGAGGTGTTTGTGGTGGAGACTGCACACTGCTTACCTGTAATCTCTTTCCTTTTCTTCCTGGACACAGAGGCTATAGCATGTTCAGGCCTACTTATAGTTAGGTGCAGCCGCCTGAGTGTTGGCCGTGGCAATGAGAACAGATGATACGTGCTATCTGTAGACCAAGATTTTTAAGAAATGGGGAAGCTCCCCCTCAATTCTCTTTTCTGCCTAGGGGATTCAGATAACAGCACTGCTGTATGAGCCGCAAATGGAGCAAAACTGGGTCCCTGAATGATTGGATCGAAGGGAGCTACCTGCCGACCAGCAATGCTAGGAACTATTACATGAGTGGAAATCAAGTGATAGGCTTTGTGGCTCACTGTATGCAAGGGCACTTCAAAGAGTCTGGGGAGCAGTGAGCACTGAGCTGGTGGGTAAGAAGTGGTGACTGGGGCAGGCATGGGGCCCAGCGGGTGAAGCCACCACTTGCAACACCAGCTCCCCATATTTCAGAGTGCCAGCCACTCTGTGTTTCCAATTCCGCTTTCTCTTGAAGTGCCCCAGGCATTGCAGGAGTTTGGGGAATGAACCAGTGATGGAAGAGCTATCTGTTTGTGTCCTCTCTCTCGCTCTTGCTCTCGCTCTCTCTCTGACATTCTGCCTTTTGAATAAATAAACAAATCTCTCTCTCTCTCTTTTTATTTATTTATTTATTTATTTACTTTACTTTACTTTACTTTTTGTCTGACATCTTCCAGGGCTGGGGTGGTCGCTGCTCTACTCTGCATCTCACCATGCCACCAAAGATAGCAAGAAGAAAAATGCCGGAAAATCGGCCAAGAAAGATAAGGACCCCAAGAAGGAACCTGGAGGCAAGGCCAAAAAGAACTGGCCCAAAGGCAAAGTTCGGGACAAGTTCCATGACCCAGTTTTGTTTGACTAAGCTACTTAGGACCAGCTCCACGAGGAAGCTCCGGCTACAAGCTCATAGCTCCCACTGTGGTCGCTGAGAGACTGAAGATGCACGGGTCCCTGGCCAGGGCAGCCCTGCAGGAGTCCTGAGAAAAGGATTTCCAAACCGGCTTCAAAGTGCAAAACTCAAGTAACTTACACTCGAAATACCAAGGTGATGTCCCAGCTGCCCGGGACCATGAATTGTACGTTTGGAAAAATAAAACCACTGAATGGATGTGAAAAGAAGCTGGTGAAGACGTCACAGTCCACATCAGAGTACTTGGGCTCAATACCCAGCTCAGCTCCTGGCTCCAGCTTCCTGATGCTGCAAACCCTAGGTGTCAGCATGTGGTGGCTCAAGCAGGTGGAGCCCTGCTGCCCACGTGCAAGACCCAGTTTGACTTGCCAGCTTCGGGATTCAACCCCAGCCAAGTCCTGGCTATTGTGGGCACTGAGGGAGTGAACCAGCAGATGGGAGTTCTGTCTGTATTGCTCTGTATCACTCTCTCTTGCTTTCTTGGTCTCTTTCTCTCTGCCTCTCAAATAAATAAACAAAAATTTTTAAAAGTTTGTGAGAAAATAGAATGAAAAGTTTATGCAAGAATGTTGAAATCTACATATAGATTTTTCATAATAAACATTATCCATGAAGATTTTGAAGAACTCTTATATTCATGGATTTCAAAATATTTTTGTAACAAAATAAGCTTTTTTAAAAAATCTTGAGCATATCCATTTTTTTAAGATTTATTTATTTGAGAAGCAGAATTACAGAGAGAGGGAGAGAAAGAGAGCGAGAGGTCTTCCATCTACTGCTTCACTCCCTAAATGGCTGTAACAGCCAGAGTTGAGCCAATCTGGAGCCAGGAGCTTTTTCCAGATTTCCCACATGGGTGCAGGGTCCAAAGCACTTGGGCCATCTTCTACTGCTTTGCCAGGCCATTAGCAATGAGCTGGATTGGAAGTAGAGCAGCCAGGACTCAAACTGGCACTCATATGGGATGCCTGTAATGCAGGCAGAGACGTAACCTAATACGCCACAGTGCCGGCCCCGTATTCATGTAATTTTTAAATTTTTTATTTCAGAGGCAGGGAAACAAACAGACAGGTCCCATCTGCTAGCTCATTGCCCAAATGCCTGGGCTGGTCCAGGCCAAAGTTAGGAGCCAGGAGCTTAATCTGGGTCTTCCACATGGTTGGCAGGGACCAAATTATTTGCGCCAACACCTGCTGCCACCCAGGGTCTGCACTGTCAGGAAATGAGAGTCAGGAACTGGAGGCAGGAATTGAACCCAGGCACTCTACACTTGACCTTAGCCAAAAGGCCAAGAAGCAATGACCCCAGACACTCTGATATGGGATATGGATGTCCTCCTAACCACTAAGCTAAGTCCCTGTCCCATAAACATGTCTTTTCAAGTATGCTGGTATTTGGGGTCTATTTATTACAGGAGCTACCATTATCCTAAGAGAGCATTTGATTGATGATGACTGGATAACACTAATTCTCAACATCAGCATGCTGTTTTAGTTGGAAGAGGTAACAATCCTATTTGTTTAAGAGTATAGCCTATTGGTTTCCCACCCAAACTAATACATGTCAAGAACCAAACTCACGTGCCCTCTGAGAAAATGTAGTTTTTAGACAGTTGAGAGATTTGTCCAATGTCGTCCAACAGCTTGGTAGGAGAGGCTGGCCTGGCCTCCTGACTGCCACATTGCATCAGCAAGTCAGCAAACAGCTGATTGCTACATGTGTTTTAAAGAAAAATACCCTAAGGGATTCTCACTTGAAGCTAATGTTTTCACTCTTCTGTGTGAACACAGACCCAGGTCAAAGCTCAATCTTCTGACTACAATTCTGGTACTCGCTCTTTAGGATATCTTGGCACAGCCAACAGAAATACAAATCTTACAGCCCAAGGAATGGTGCTTTTCCAGATCATATCTAAAAATATTCATGTGTGGTGCTATGTATTTACCTTAAAAATAGCTTTACACTTTATCGCAAAATGAATGCGTGCTTGCCATAGAAATTTAGAAAATAAAAATGAGGAAGAAGAGGAGGAGGAGGAAGAGGAGGAGGAGGAAGAGGAGGAAAAAGAAGAAACAAAAAAAGGCTGGCGCCACGGCTCAATAGGCTAATCCTCCGCCTAGCGGCGCCAGCACACCAGGTTCTAGTCCCGGTCGGGGCACCGGATTCTGTCCCGGTTGCCCCTCTTCCAGGCCAGCTCTCTGCTGTGGCCAGGGAGTGCAGTGGAGGATGGCCCAAATGCTTGGGCCCTGCACCCCATGGGAGACCAGGAAAAGCACCTGGCTCCTGGCTCCTGCCATCGGATCAGCGCGGTGCGCCGGCCGCAGCGCGCCGGCCGCGGCGGCCATTGGAGGGTGAACCAACGGCAAAGGAAGACCTTTCTCTCTGTCTCTCTCTCTCACTGTCCACTCTGCCTGTCAAAAATAAAAAAATAAAAAAATAAAATAAAAAAAAAGAAACAAAAAAAGGAGTCAGGGGTGGATGTCTGGCAGAGCGGTTAAGACCCCACACCCCATTTTGGAGAGCCTGGGCTTGAGTCCTGGCTCCCGTCAATTCTAGCTTCCTTCTAATGCACGCCCTGGGAGGCAGCCGCTGACGGCTCAAGTATTTGGGTCCCTGACACACACATAGGAGACTGGGACTGAGTTCCCAGCTCCTGGCTCCCAACTGGCCCAACCCCCCGCTGCTGCAGGTATTTGGAGAGTGAATTAGAGGATCTCTCCTCTCTCTCTCTCTCTCTCTCTCTCTCTCTCTCTCTCCAGGCCTTTCATATAAATACAAAGTTATATAATATACATAATGAATACAAATTTTTAAACAGAAAACAAAATCAAGCTCACTCAAACATGTATGAGAGAATCATGCTGTCCCTCCACAGCATGGTGTTCAGAGACCGCGCAGCATTGCGCTACATGAACATATCTGAGCTTATTGACTGAGGACCTACATGCACCTGCTGTCAATAAAACAGACCACAGTCTCCGGAGAGATCAGAGCCATGGACGTAGCAGTCTTATGTCATTGATTTATTCACGTAACAAATACCCTCTCAGCACCAGACACTGCGCCAGGTGCGGGGAGCACCTCCTTGCGGGGGCAGCATCCCTGCAGCAACAGTGATCCCTGTGTGACACACGGCTCTTGGGCTTCTCTGCCCCTTCATCCCTCTCTTTCCTGTTTTTTTTTTTTTTTTTGAAGAATTTTATTTATTTGAGAGGCAGAAAAATACAGAAACAGCATTCCCAGCCCCCTGGTTCACTCTCCAAATGCTCACAACTGCCCCAGGCCAGGGGCTGAAGCTGAGGACTCAGTCCGGGTCTCTGAATGTGGGTGGCAGAAACCCAATTACTGGAGCCATCACCGCTGCCTCCCAAGATCTGTATCAGCAGGAAGCTGGAGTGAGGAGTAGGAGCCAGCCACAGAACCAGGCACCCCAGGATGAGACGCACGTTTATTGATTTGTTTTTTATTTGTTTGCTTATCTGAGAGCCAGAGTTACAGAGAGAGAGGAGAGAGAAAGAGAGAGATCTTCCATCCGCTGGTTCACAGTTGGCCACAACAAGGCTGGGCCAAGCTGAAGCCAGGAGCCAGCAGCTTCATCTGAGTCTCCCATGTGGGTGCAGGGACCCAGAGACTAGGGCCATCCTCCACTGCTCCCCCAAGTGCATTAAAAGGGAGTTGGATCAGAAGTAGAGCAGCCAGGACTTGAACCAGCACCCATATGGGATGTCGGCTCTGCAGACCACGGCTTAACCCACTGTACCACAGCACCAGCCCCCGGGAACACGGGCATCTTAACCACTGGGCCCAATGCCCACCCCATCCTTCACCCATTTTACAACACAGCCAACATCACATTAGGAATGGATAAGAGCTCAAAAGAAAAGCTTTGTTGCTTTTTGTTTGTTGGTTCACCTTCAAGAATCACATAGTTCTATTGAATGAAAGCCAGAGAAACAGTAAGAACCCATGGCAGGTGGCATTGTTTATTCAGTTTCCCCTTTCCTCACTGTCCTTCCCTGACCTCCGGTGTTTAGGGTCTGTTCCTTACCCCCATGGACTTCGTGCTTAGCCATGTGACTCACACTGGCCAGTGGAACAGGTGCAGATGGAAAGGACAGCGTTCCAATTCCACACGGAGGCTGTAAGAGGCAATGCCTGTTTCTGCCATTAGGAAATGAGAGTCCTCCCCTGTGCGCCTGCACGGCGCCATCAGAAGACTGTGCCTTCCACAGGTGCCTGGTGCTCCCTCAGGGCTCCAGAACAAGAGATACATGGAGTGAACCTGAACTTGGCCTGTAGCTTACTGCAGAGCCTCTGCAGGCACCCACAGACCTCCCAGCAAGAAATAATCACCTGCTATGGCCAGCCCCTGATGTTTGGGGGCTGTTTGCTGCAGCACTTTGTCATAGCAACAGTTGACTAACACAGGACTTCATGAAATAAAGCCTGCCCTTGCAAAGGTCTACCTGAAGTGTCATGTCCTCCAGGAAGTGTTTCAAGACACTCCCCATTCCTGTCTGCTCTGCCAATCAGAATGCATCTCCCCCAGTATCTTGCTTGTGTCTGTTGCATCTGACATGGCCTGCAGCCTGCCTTTCATACACATGGAATTGTAGCTGTGTCTACTTTTTTTCCTGGAACATAAAGTGATTTTGGTTTTTGTTTTCTTGAGGGTGTGGCACTCATCACAAGGTCTGTAGACTCTGCAGTGCCTGGCATGTAGCAGATGCTCAAAACTGTTTAATCAAATGCATGAATGAGAAGTTCTCCAGAAAATGTGGGTAGACTGGAAAGGAGCAAGGACGTGTGGTCCTGCCCCTTGAGATGAGCGTGGATTCCAAAGGCAGGGACACAGACACCATCCTTGTGGGAGGTACGCATGGAATCCCAGGCTCCTGGCTTGGGCCTGGCCCGGTTCTACTGTTTTGGGCATTTGGGAGTGAGCCATTGGATAGAAGATCTTTCTGTATCTATCTCTTGGCCTTTCAAATAAACTGAAATCAATAAATAAAAATTTGAATTTAAAAAATGGTGAGGGGGTGAGGTGTATGGCACAGCAGTTAAAAAATCATGTCCTTGGACGGCGCCATGGCTCACTAGGCTAATCCTCCACCTGCAGTGCCGGCACACCGGGTTCTAGGCCCAGTCAGGGCGCCGGATTCTGTCCCGGTTGCCCCTCTTCCAGGCCAGCTCTCTGCTGTGGCCAGGGAGTGCAGTGGAGGATGGCCCAAGTGCTTGGGCCCTGCACCCCATGGGAGATCAGGAGAAGCACCTGGCTCCTGGCTTCAGATCGGTGTGGTGCGCTGGCCGCGGCGGCCATTGGAGGGTGAACCAACTGCAAAGGAAGACCTTTCTCTCTCTCTCTCTCTCTCTCTCTCTCTCACTGTCCACTCTGCCTGTCAAAAATAAAAAAAAAATCATGTCCTACTCTGGCAGGTGTGGGAAAGAATAAGCAGGAATTTAAATCAGGCAAAGTTAGAGAAGAGCTAGGATGTGAGCATGGAGGTGGAACCAGCACTCCAGATTCCTGAATTCTAGTTCGGAGTTAGATGCTGGCTGGATTCTCCGAGAAAGTTACCTCACCACTCTGGTTATCATCAAAGGTTGAAAAAAGAAAGAATGATCATTTTGCCTAAAGGTTATTATACAGATCCAAAAATATGTACATACATAACAGAAAAATGTCAAGGCCCACTCACGTCCACATTCAGCCCAGAGAATCAGTGTGTTATGTCCATCCACCTACAGGGAGCCAAAGAACCAATTATCAGGGGACCCCCAAGCTCACACTGAGCCTCCTGGGAGTTGTTCCCTTATGGTGATTACTCTCTGGGATGACTTTTAACAGATACCTGTCTTTTATTAACAAAAAATAAAAACTGGACACTTGCAATGTTCTGTTGACAGAGATTATATTAAAATTGGGATTTTTTTTCCCTTGTTTTATCTGCCAGGCAAGGTAAATTGCCCCTCTCATTTCCCTCTGGGCTGAGTTTGTGTCTTCTTCCTACCTGATTGCTTACGGGTCTGTAGCCCGAACCAGTGGCACACTCTGGAGGACTGGGCCCTTGGATGAGATGCGCAGACTACGCTAGAACAGGGAAGTACATCGTGCGCTTTAGAAGGATTTTCATAAAGCATTTGGCAATTTTAAGTGCTTGACTCAAAGGGGGACTTAACATGTCCACAAAATGTGTATTGATTTGCTAATACCTCCCTTATCAATGATGTCGATGAACTGGGGAAATATTGTGCTTTCTATCTTATGTATGAAGGGGCTTCCCAGTGCTTTTGGAAAATGTGCACCCTGAAAAACATGCATGGATTCCAACTTTTTTACTCCAAAACAAACTTATCTTTTGATCCCATTCCCCAGGAACATTTTGAAGTACTCACGTATTCTGTGAACTACACAAGGATGAGGTTGGCATATGCTCAAATCTATGGCCTTCTCCTTATTCTCTTTCACTGAGAAAATCGTGCGTGATGCATCATTTTCTTTCCTGCATCAGTTCTTGATGAGGAAGCTGAGTAACAGCAGAAAGGGAAGAGCACAGACTTCTGGAGGCCGACCACCACTCCTCAAACCTGCTCTCCCTTGTACAGGTCTCGGGAGCCTGGGCATGCTTCTTGATATTTTGTAACTTCAGTTTCAAGCAGGGATTATATTACTTCCACTGTAGGGTTTCAAAGTTTAGAAATAATGTATGGAAATAATTATAAATAATATAATAATAAAATATAATATATAATTATTTATAATTATAAATAATCTTGCACATGCTGGGTGTTCAGTAAAACCAAGCACTCCTTGTTAGTTCCTGCTGCTGTACTTTGACATGGCCCAAGGGTGCCCTCAGAACATGCCTTGGTAGACCACTGTGCCCCTGAATGAAATGGTACTGTATTACTGCACTCGTCGTTCTTATTTCTAGCTTACAATTTTCCTGTTTGCTCCCCCACTATTGGGTTATCAGTTGTCAATTCTCATGGCCACCAAAGAGAAAGGAGAGCTGCTTCTTTATCTTGTCAGGCTGCTACCAACTAACTTTCTGCCTCCAGTCTGCTTGGAATTGCATGTCAAATGGAGTAAACAATACTGAGAAGAGCCTGAAGCTGCCTTCCCTGGGGCCGAGGGATGACACTCTACATGGGCTTGCTGAGGCTCCGTTAGGGACCCAGTCTTTTCCCCTCTCTAACAGAGTTTGTATGCGTGTTCCTGAGGGCTAAGGTGGTTAGCTATCCACTGCTCTGCTTCTTTTTTAAAAATTATTTATTTATGTGAAAGTAAGAATTACAGAAAGAGAGGGAGAGACACAGAGAGAGAGCTTCCATCTGCTGGTTCATTCCCCAAATGGCCGCAACAGCCAGGGCTGGGCCAGGTCAAAGCCAGAAGCCAGGAGCTTCTCCCACATGGGTACAGGGGCCCAGGGATTTGCGCCATCTTCTGCTGCTTTCCCAGGCTCATTAACAGGGAGCTGGATCAGAAGTGGAGCAGCCAGGACTTGAACCAGTGCCCAGGCACTGCAGATGGCAGCTTACCCTGCTATGCCGCAGCATCGGTCCCTCTGCTCTGCTCCTTTACCGGCAAAGCGACGTGACTCTGAGAGGGTGGTGCGGATTCAGGACCATGGGACAGTCAGCAGCATTGTTATTACTGTTGGTCTTCCCTGGAGTCAGTTTGCCTGACTGGCTGTGCAGTGGAAAGAGCACCGGATTGGGAGTCTAGCGTTTTAGGTTCTAGCCTCAGCTCTGTGAAATGACTTCAGGATAATGACTCAGCCTCCCGGGCCTCAGTTCCCTAATCTAAAAAACTGAAAGGCTTCAACAGGATGATCTGTGAGCGCCTACATTCCATGAATCTATGTCAAGGTACCCAGACTACTGCTTGGCAGTCACTACAGTGTGTCTGGAAATAGACTTCTCTTTACGGCTTTGGCCTTCATGGTTTGCTCTAACTTGAGAGCCAAATTCTTAGCACCATTTTCTGGTCTCTTTACTATTTCTTTTTATAACGATTTTGTCCTTAATTTGGGCTTATTTCAAGGAGAAAGATGTTAACTATTGAAAAGTGATGGGATGTTTTAATCTGGGCTGGAAAGCCTGTTCCTTGAGAATGGCTTAATTAACATTTCCAGGTTCATAACATTTTCATTTATTCATCTTTTTGTTTTTAAATGGTTTTTTAAGTTTTCCAGAGACGGCGATCTCACGTTCCTAATGGATTATAAGACAGAGAGTAGGTCTGCTGGGATCTGCATTCTTATTAGCTTTAAGATTCACATTAGGAAAAAAAAAAGAAACTTAAGTAGAATAGGTCCACCATGCTAATAAAAAACGAAACAGAACTGTAGTTCAACACAAGACAAAGCGGTCAGCTTGCCAAGCAGGAAGCAGACCCAGTGACCTTGGGAGAGGACACGTGTTTCTCCTCCCTGAGCTCATTCTCCACCAGGGGGGCCCACGTCTTACCCTTCAGTAATGGTCTGCTGGGACACGTTCACCACCACGCAGGAATGCGCACGGCTCTGGGAAGGGGGATGGTGAGCTATTGAGTCAGAACCATGGAAGCCGAAACCCACAGCTGGTGGCCATTCAGAATTTGGGGTGAGAAGGAAGGACACCTGGCACTGTACTCTGCTAGTGGTGAGTGCCTCAAGTGAAAATTCAGTTCAGTTAAATGAGAAAGCACCGGCCCAGGAGTCAAGAGGCCTGGCCTCCAATTCTGTGCCATCAATAACCAGTCGAGGGCATGGGCATTGTGGCACAGTGAATCAGGCAGCCATTTGACGTTCCCACATCCCACAATACAGAGTCTGATTCAGGTCTGCAGCTACTCTGCTTCTGATCCAGCTTCCTGCTAATGCGTTTGGAAGGCAGCAGGTGATGGCTTAAATACTTGAGTCCCTGCTACCCACATGGTAGACCTGGGTGGGTTTCCTGGCTCCTGGCTTAGATCTGGCCCAGTCCTGGCTGTTGCATGCATTTGCAGATGGAAGATCTCTGTGTGTGTGTCTCATCTCCTCGCTCTCTCTCTCTCTTTTACTCAGCCTGGGAAAGATTGATTTATGTATTTGAAAGGCAGAGTTACAAGGAGGCAGAGGCAGAGAGACAGGTCTTCCATCCACTGGTTCACTCCCCACATGGCTGCAACGGCCAGAGCTATGCAGATCTGAGGCCAGGAGCCAGGAGCTTCTTCCAGGTCTCCCACACAGGTGCAGGGGCCCAAGGACCTGGGCCAACTTCTATTGCTTTCCCAGGCCACAGCAGAGAGCTGGATTGGAAGAGGAGCAGCTGGGACATGAACTGGCACCCATATGGGATACTGGCACTGCAGGTGGTGGCTTTACCCACTTTGCCACACTGCTGGCTCCAAATAAAAAGAAACAGTGAAGGACCAGATGTTGCTGCAAATGCAGGTGTTTGGACCCTGCTTGGGATACCCACTTCCCATCTGCAGTGCCTGATTCCAAGTCTCAGCCCCACTCTCAATTCCAGCTTCCTACTAATGGGCACCCTGGGAGGCAGCTGACAAAGGCTCAAGGAGTTGGGTTCCTACCACCTACATGGAAGAGTCTAAGTTCCTGGTTCCTGCCTTTGGCCTGGTCTGGACTCTGCTGTTGCAGGGATTTGTGAAATGAACCAGTGACTAGGCCTCTTTCTGTCTTTCAAATAAATAAAGAGTAAATAAAAATAGAAGCAAAAACAAAGCAGAATGTTCTTGCATAAAAAATTTCACATTTGTGGTTCTGGTACCACAGCTGCAAAGTCAGATCACTGACACCAGCCCGACATGCTTTATGAGATGATTATAATGATGGATGTAGTAGATGACCATGAAAAATCTAAATTCTAACCTGATGAGTTGAAAACAGCTCAATATTTCCTGCCTCCTTTAATGTTGTGATTTGTATTTTGCACCAAAATAAACTTACCTCTTTTTTTAGTTGATCTATTTTTACTTACTTCAAAGGGGGAGGGGGGGGAGATCTTCCATCTGCTGGTTCACACTCCAAATGCTCACAATGGCTA